TATGTAGCCAAAGTTGTCCTTCCTGGGAAATTCCATGGTTTCAAAATATAGGTTTGACCAATTTGAAATTAACATTACTGTGATGTTTTCTGCTAAATAACTTTTCTGAAGTTCTTCAGAGTAACAAAAAATCATTTTTAAAAAATTAATATTAAATAGGGATTTAATATTAAATAATATTAGAGTGTTTATCACAATGGTTTATTTTAATAAATAATGTAAATTAAAATTTATAGTTTCATCGAGTGAAAAATACAGAGGAATCTGTCAAAATAAGAAATTGAACCATATCAAACTATCTTCCTGTAAATGTGCCCATTGAATTCTCTGTGTTGATAAATTTCTATTTACTAAAAAAAAAAAAAAAAAAGAAATTATATAAAGAAATTAACACATAAAAAATCTACAGTTTTTTAAAAGAGCCATTGGCCTGTTTATACAGAAATACTAATAATATTGAATGAAAACATAAACTTGGGGTGAGTTAGTGTGACTTTTACATGAATGGAAATCACATAAGTTTGATTGCTCTATTCTTAAATCCTTTTTACATATGGTTATTCCTCACATGGCTTCCCTTTTCTTCTTAATCTTATAATCCATGCCTTAATAATTTCTGAAATCTCCTTAGCAAAATGTATTTGATAAAACCTGCTCCTGTATTTGCAATATCATATTCAACAGATTCTAGAGGTATTTTGCAGCCTTAGGTGCTTTCCCAGACGTCGTCTGGTAGCAGCAGATGACCATCTGAACCACCTTGTCCTGCTAGGCATCATTACTTTAATTAGAGAGACAGAAGCCTTTAATCTCATGAATCAAGTCTTTTTGCATACCTAAGCAGTCTCTTCCACAGGTTTACAACCTACCGTAGTACTCATGAGATATTTCAGTGTTGCCTTCTTTTAAAAGTGCCTTGATGAAAACTTGCAAAAACAAAAAAGAAAAATACTGAGAAGGAACAGTTTGTAACAGATACTGAAAGTGATATACAGCTATGTTTCTGTTACTTAGAAAAAAACCCTCAATGTCCACAGATTTCTGAGCAACACGTAAAAGGAATAATTTTTTCTGAGATTCTGCAGTTCAGCCACCTCCAAAGATCAGCATTTGTAAACCAAAAGGCATATAAATAGCATGCAAATAATGAAAAGTAAAAATATGTTTTTGAGGAGGTGATACTAAACATTATACAATTTAACCAATCAATTTGAAAATATTCTAGTCACATCTATGGGATTCATCCAAAATCTTTGCTTATCTATATTCACTGGCAACAGTGTAACTAGCTCATATTCTATTTGACAAATACTAGAAACCCAATGGCTTCACAGACTGGGAACTTGAGTTCATTACCTTTGCAAGTCATGTCTCTGAATTGAAAAAGAAAACGCTATAAATTTCAGTTTCAGCTCCCTGCTTCCAAAACATAAGGGAAATAAAACAATTTGCAGCTAGTTTCTTTCCAGGATGACTGAGGAATAGCCTCCTCCAAAGAAGAACATATGCTAGCTAACGAAAGAGGTAAGTTAATATATATACACACATGCCAAAGAGTTTTGGTGGTTTTTTTTTACAGACTAATTCAAGTAGTCTATCTCGTATTGGCCTCATTAGCCACCAGCGTGCCTGTAATAAATGTGGATAGAGCCTTCCTTAATCTTCATTCACGAAGCCTAGCCATGAATTCAAGTAGTGGTCTGCCCTTCCCCCCCAAAAAGGCTTCATAATTGTCCCTACTGTCCCACCATACATCGAGACTATGAAAGGCTTTGAAGTTAGGAGGGAGAATGCCTTCCTTTTATCCCTACCTTTATCCTTCTTACACCCTTTGCTTCTTTTTATGATTTTCCCAAGCAAAATATGAAGGTTTTAGCTCTAGATCTCTCAACAAAGAAATCTACCAGAACTCTCAGATACACCGTCAAAGAGTGGCAACCTCTCATTTTGTTTCTCAAAATCATAAAGAGCATTAGCTCCTACCATTTCCCCCAGTGCAGAATATACATGTAGCCTCACACCCACATTCAGTGTTTTGAAAACAAAATCTGCGGAGTACCATAATAAATTGGTACCATTCCCTTATTTGCTCTATAACTCTGGACTGTATCACACTGCCAGTTTACTGCAGTTCAATTTAAAATAAAATAATTTACTGAAATAATATCTGCAGTTCAGAAAAGTCTTCACTAAATAACTGGACTGTCTCAGGTAAAGTAATACAGTTAATCTTTCAGTACTTAAGATAACGTATCCTTTTTTTTCTATCTTGTTAAATTATTCATCTCCATAATAGGAGTTTTCTGCTTGTAATTCGTTCTTTCTGTACTTGGCTGCCTTTCAGAACTCCCTGATTTATTGTGTTTCTGAGTCTGCCACACTGATATCAATTTCACATCTACTAATAAAGTCAGCAACCTTAAAAGTAATGTATTCCTCAGCCTGTTACAATTCCTTTTAAATGGTTCACTCACAAATGATTTCTCTTTGTCAACATTTGAAATAATTTTGTTAGCTAAGAACTTTTTTACACAGCACAGCATACAGCCTAAAAGGAAACCATCAAGAAGAAACTTCAGCACTTGTCTGCCTGAAGGTTAGTCTTTCTGGCAGACTGAAGGGGAATCCAATTTTCATACATTAAAGTGTCTGGGCACAGTAGCCTGAACTGGTCGGAAGAGGCAGGCACAGCCTAGATATGAGTGAGGCAGCTTTTTAGATGCAGCTGGCTTTATGGGAAAGTGATGATGGAAGGCACCTAATTCTTCACCTTTTCTTAGCTAAGTTGGGACATGTGAAAAATGGGCTACTTTTGTCAGTGGCAATTAGGTTGTCTAAAGGAAGAATGCAGGATTAAGTTAAAGTGCTGGTTTTGACTGGGCCTAATTTCCTCCATAGTAGCTGGTATGTGCCTATATATTGGATTCGTGCTGAAAACAGTGTTGACACACAGGCGTATATCAGCTGTTGCTGAGCTGGGCTCACACAACATCAAGGCTGCTTCTACTACTCACCCCAACCCGCCAGTGGGCAGGCTAAGGGGGCACAAGGAGTTGGATGGGACACAGCCAGGACGGCTGACCCTCACTGACCCAAGATATATCCCAGACCATATGGTGCTGTGCTTAGCATATAAAGCTGAGTGAAGAAGAAGGAAGGGGGAGGATGTTTGGAGTGATGGCATTTGTCTTCCCAAATCACTGTTAAACTTGATGGGGTCCTGCTCTCCTGAGAATGGCTGAACACCTGTCTGCTGATCAGAAGTGGCTTTCCCTGTTACACTGCCATTACCTCAATCCACAGGTTTTCTCAGTTTTGCTCTTCTGATTCTCTCTCCAAACCTAGTGGGGGATGAGTGAGCTTAGTTACCAGCTGGGGTTAAACCATTACAGTTGCATTCCAATATATTTCAAATAACACAATTTCAATTCCATTGTGGATTATGATGCTCATTACTTAGGTTTCACACTCCTTTATTCCTGCAGTTCCAAAAGTGTCTTGTAGATGACAAGATGTATGTAAGTTGAAGCATCTGCAGACTTACTTGATCCTGCAAAAATATTCATGCTTAGCTCTCCCAGGATTAGCTAAAATCCACAAAGTTCATACAGAAGTGATTGTTACCAGTCTCTCTGTATGGACTAATTGTATAAGCTACGAAGTCACTCCTCGCAATGCACACACAAAATATATGGACAGACAGGCATATTGCCATCATACCCTGCCCTAAAAACAGCAGCAAAACTCTACATGATAGGATATATTAATAATTGCGGATATGAACAATGGAAAGAGAGATCTGCAGACAGGCTACAGAAGAAAGTGTAACTGTTTACTTATCTGATTAATCAGCAGGTATAAGCTGCTAGTGAACATTGTATGAAGGTTTCTCTGACAGTATTTGGAAATAAGCACTGCGTTCTGAGTTGAGGTATAAACAAAAATGCAGTAATTTAATGAAGAAGTTATTCATGTCTCCAGATGCTGATTTTATTTGATACAGCAACAATGCCAACAAATACCAGATCATAAAATAAAATTACACTCTTTAGGGTAGTTTGTGAAGGAAATCATTTGAATGGCACACAATGAAACACGGAAAATATGCAAGGAATGGAACATTTAGAAGATTTAGTAAGACACTATGTAAAAGAATGTGAAACTCCTGTGTACAGTTAGCACAAACAGCCTTTAGTTCAGTTTACATCATGTGGTTACAAAAAACAAGCTGAAGGAACAGAGTGCATGCATAGCAGATTTTTTGGGATATAGCTAAATAAATAAATAAACAAACCTATACTCATATATTCATTTAGGAACCCAGCGACTCATCTGCCCCAGTGGTTCAGATGCACATGAACAAGCTACTGGTACTAGATGCACAGTCAACAGGCAAATTCAATACAAAAGCAATATAAGCAATTTTAATTTCTGCATGAGGGGAGAATGGAGTTGTACAGTTTGGCTGTATTACTTGCAGACCTTAAGCTGGCACAAAATAATGTTGTAAAAGAGATAAAAACATTGGGAGTTTTTATAAGCATCCTTTGCCTTTTAATAAAGCCTCTAGGGTTTGACTGAGATCTATAACTCATTTCACATACAAAGAACTGAAATGCCCATAGTCAAATATAGCACCTATTAAAAAATAAAGGAGTGTAGAATTCCTCTCAGTTTAACACATGTTGAGGGAGACATAATATTAGGCAACTTTTTCCATGATCACTGACTGTAATGGAATTCCATCTTGAAGTCTTAATTCAGAATTTAAGCCACAAGGTACCCATCTCCATTACTATGTACTGCGGTGAGTTACAGGTTATAAACTACCCAAGAGGCCGTGAGGTTACTTAAACTGCAACTGTATGACTGACAGCCCTGCATGTGTAGAATCAGCTTTATGCTATCATAGTTGTGGGGACCCCTGGTGGTCTAGTGGTTAGGATGCAGCACTGCAGCCCAGGTTCGATTCCCCGTCAGGGAACTCCTCTGGGCAGATGGAGCTCGTCAGCCCTGTAAGGCCATCCATCTAAGAGAAGGTCACTCTAAACAAACCTACATCCTGAGGACCTCACTGACACTGTCCAAGCTCACTCTGCCCTGGCAGACGAACCTTAGGATTAAAGGGTGGGCTCAGCTCAGCGCACACTGTGTCTCACCTAAAAAATCCGCTGCACAGGCTTGAAGGGTAAAGACCTTTCCCAAATCTTCCTTCGCGAAGACTGACCATACATCATAGTTGTATTACCTGTATCACAGAGCAGCATTGAAGAAAGACTTTTAAATCTCACTTGTCCTCTGTAAAGCAGTCATGTTTAGAGGACAGAGTCACAGACTTTAAAAGAATGATATCTGAATGAATCTCAGTCTTATGCTTAGATGCATCACAGATAAACTAAGAAAGCAGCTGACTTAAGTTCAGCACCTAGTAGACCCAATCTCTTTGCCATCCTGTTGACAAACCTTGCAAATACCCAGCTGGGGAAGCCCTACAAAGCTTCCATTTTCTTAATCCCAGAAAAATCTGATTGTACTAGAATTTGTTTGCTTGAGAACCAACCAAGGCACTATTCATGGTCAGCCTTTGTGAATGAAGATTTGGGAAAGATCATTACCCTTCGAGCCTGTGCAGTGGATTTTTTAGGTGAGACACAGTGTGTGCTGAGCTGAGCCCACCCTTTAATCCTAAGGTTCATCTGCCGGGGTCAAGTGAGCTTGGACAGGGGCAGTGAGGTCCTCAGGACATAGGTTTGTTTAGAGTGACCTTCTCTTAGATGGATGGCCTTACAGGGCTGACGAGCTCTGTCTGCCCGGGGGAGTTTCCCTGACGGGGAATCGAACCCAGGCTGCAGTGGTGAGAGTGTTGCATCCTAACCACTAGACCACCAGGGAACCACCAAGGCACTAGAAAGTTCAGAAATGACAACTCTGCAGTTGCACACAAAATTGATGCATTCAGTCCCAGCGGTAAGGAAGTTTGGAGTCCTCTGAGAAGAGATCACAACTGTGTTAGAAACTAGCTATAAAACAATAAATTCTGGCCTTTCCGTCTACTGAGTACTAGGTTTCAGAAACAGTTTTTTCACAGGGTTTGCAGAGGAGGCTTTTTTTGATGGGAAGAAAGTGATTTGTATGTACCTTCCCAGTTTTATACTCAGAAAAACACTGTGCATCCTATCTGCCACTCTAAATCTTCAGTGATGGTTGGGAAGAACCAATAGTTGTTGACCTACACAATAGTATAAGCACTGAAGCATGAAGTTACCATTTAAAGAAATTATTGAAAAGCCTAAGAACTTGGTAACCTGCTGGCATGGATGGACCACTGAGTCCAAGCACTGGTCCTCAAGAAGTGAGAATGAATACTGAACAATGAACCCTCCCATTATCTCTCTCCCTGTCTTAAACTGGGAGCATCAGGCTTTTCTTTCACTGCTTCTAGTTCAGAAAAGCAGAAATATTCAAACTACTTGTTTTATGTTGATCTCCTATAAATAGAACCAGGTAAAAAAGAGTGGGAAAAAAAACCCAGCATGCTTTCTGCCTACTGCAATTCCCAGCCAGAGGTGCCATGAGTCAGGAGATTCATGCAGAGTGATATTAACACGCGAAAAAAAAAAAAAACCAAGTACTTTCTGAGGTGCCCACCAAGTCATTTGGAGAGGGAAGAGAGAAGCGCAAGGCTGTAAGGAAGAAAGTATAGTTACAATGTCAAAGGAGAAGACGAGAGGAAAAAAAAAAAGTACACTTTACCTTTTCTGGAAGCCCCACAATGGTAGCAGCAGATCTTTGTGGGGCTGGACTCTTGCCCCAGTCTTCCCTCTCGCCCCCTGTGGCAGTCTCAGATGTTCTCAGTGAAGCACCAGCTGTCACTCTGGCAGTAGCAGTGTGAACTCAGCTGAGTTTATACGTGCAGTTATTTTAGCACATGGCCTTTTTCTTTGTTCTAAGAAAAAAAATCTGGCAATTAAATACTTTGGATATCTCAGCTAGATCTGGATGATATTTGACTGAGTAGAGAAAAAAAGCCCTAAACAAAACAGTTCTTTCAGTCACAGTATTCTTTTTCTCAAACAGCTGCTGTGATCAAGGGCGGAAGAGATTTAAGAGGAAGAGTTTTATTTCTGGTGGGAAATATTAGGCAATCAAGTTGTAAGCAGAGCAGGTCACATGGTTGGTTGCAAAATGACTACTGAAATTAATTGTCTTAAGAATATGAAATAGTTTTTAAGAACTACCAGTGTCATGTTTAGACCACAATCACACTGTATAAGCCCGTGACAGGCTGGCTTTTCATTTCAGCCTCTCTTTTCTGTTGCTCTGCTCATAGCAAGCAATAGCCTGGAAGCTGAGTCATGTTTTAAGGCACATTTCTGCCCAATTCATCCTCCTTTAAAGTCATCACAGTCTATTCCCTGTCTAGAAATAGATCATCCACTGCCTTTTCTAGTCAGATGTTTTCAACTCTACATGAGTTGAAAAGTTTGGAGAGAACGCTTGAACATCTTGTGTCTTCTTATGCTTATCCCAAACATATGCCACATCTTTCTGCCTTCATAAATAAGTTTTGATAAATTCATGAATATCACCACCTTTAGTACTGTATGTGGTTCTGGGCCAAATTTAAGGATGTTAAGGCACTCAAAATCATCCAGAGGAGAGCAACAAAGCTGGTGAGAGGGTCAGAAGGAATGTCCTACAAGGAACAGCTGAGGACTGCAGGCTTGTCTAGTTTAGAGACAAAGAGACTAAGGACTCCTTGAGTGTGATCCCATTACTCTCTACAGCTTCCTGAGGAGAGGAAGTGGAGATGCAGGTGCTGATCTCTTCTCCCTGGTATATAGAGAGGCTGTGGAATCTTCCTCTTTGGAGATATTCAAAAGCTGTCTGGACACATTCCTAGCAATGTGCTCTGGGGGACCCTGACTGAGCAGGGATGTAAGACTAGGTGATATCCAGTGGTCTCTTCCAATCTTACCAATTCTGTAATTTTGTAATATGTGGTAATGGTTCAAAGCTGAGCCAGGACAGTACATTAGACTGTACATTAGTAAGCATTTCAGACTGTACATTAGTAAGCATTTCATCAGCAAGATATGGATCAAATCCTGGAATAGGCTTCCTAGAGAGTTGATTGATGCCTCCAAACTGTGAGTGTTTAAGAGGCATTTGGACAATGTTCTTAACAACATACTGTAGCTTTTGGTCAGCCCTGAATCAGTCATGCAGTTGGACTAGATTCTTGTTCACAGAATCGTTTAGGTTCGAAAAGATCTCACAGATTATCAAGTCCCACTATGATCAAACACCACCATGTCAACAAGACCATGGCACTAAGTGCCATGTCCAACCTTTTCTTAAACACCTCCAAGGACAGTGACTCCACCACCTCCCTGGGCAGTCTATTCTAATATTTAATCACCCCTAATGCCCAACCTGAACTTCCCCTGGCACAGCTTAAGACTATGTCCTCTTATCATATCACTTGTTACCTAGGAGAAGAGGTCGACCCCCGCTCAGACACAATCTCCTTTCAGGTAGTTGTAGAGAGTGATACGGTCACTCCTGAGCTTTCTTGTGTCCAGGCTAAACAACCCCAGCTGCCTCAGCTGCTTCTCCTATGACTTACCCTTCACCAGCTACTTCATTATTGTTAGTTTTGTTTCTAAATCTGATCTTTTAGTAGGTATTAATTTTCACTACTTTTATTATTTTTCCCTCTTAGTGTAAGTTGCTTTGGCAGGCGAGGCAGTAGCCAAACTAGTTGTCTTCCTTGTGCTATCAGTTTCTCAACCACCCTTGTGATCAGCTTTGTTTTCAAAGGTTATTAAATTCTTCAAAAGTTATTAAGGTTATTCCTGGATTCAGGGTTGTTCGTTTTTAGAGATAGTGCAGTTGCTAAATTGTTGGAAAAGTATTATATTCCTGATATTTAGTTCCATCATCATTGGAACTGAAATCTGTTCACCTTAAGAGACATAATAATGACTAGTTTTGTTTTCATTGTCACATACAATAAGAACTTGACCTTTGCATTTGAGCACAGGTCAAGTGGGAGAAATTAGTCTTCAGGGCATCTGTGTAATCAGTCCTTAAATGAAATCTGAAGCTTTAGTAGTAAGGGAGGCCATTGTCTAAGTCTGATACTAAAGCTTTAACCCCATTTCACATCCAAAAGCACGGTAAGTTATTTGACAGCAGACACTGAAAGTGCAGCCACTAGTCTGACCTTTATAGAGTTGGATGAGTGCAAGAATTACTGGTTCAGACTCTGTTACTTGAAATTAAAAAGCAAACAAGGTAGGAGATGTGATGAAAACCCTTTCAATTTCACATAAATTACACAAGGCATTCAACTCAAGACCATAAAGTCACTCACGTTAATTAAAAAATTCTAAGCTGTTTGTTAAGAATCAGCTGCCACTTACAATAGTTCTTTGCCATTTAAGACCATATATACAGCTGACTTGTTTAAGATTGCATCTCCCATTGCAAATTCTCTTTTCTAGGTAAACATATGTAAACAGTTTCTCTTCCTCAAAAAAATTATGATGTATTTCTGTTTGTACATTTTTTAGCTCCATGTGATAAAAGTGCTTAAGATAAATTCCCATGGAATTGTTGTTCATTATGTTCTACCAGATCTCTGAAGCAAAGATCCAACATTCTAGAAGAGAAAATATACATTCCAATTTAATGTCTCCTTGGAGCTGAAGAAGAGGAAGAAATCTTCATTTTGATAAGTTATCACAATACTAATAACATTCTGGACTTTTTAAAATATCTTTCCATTCTGAGACAACTCCTCTAAACACGCTACACATCTAAAGAATTGAGAATTATGTAATTGATAATTTTTGTGATACAAAAAGAAAAATGACCTGACCTTCAGGTTGAAAATATATTTCAGAGCCTGTCACGTGGAGGTCTTTATACGATAAAGAATGCTGTCAGCTCTCCGATAAGGTGGAATCAAAGAGGCTTTATTCAAATTTTGCTCCCTTTTATCCCCTAGAACCATGTGACCTTTTGACCAATTGGGTTGTCTATTTAGGCGCATGCTCCCTTGCCCCAGTACGTACCCTGTACCTCTGGACACGCCTCCTACAAGAGCCAAATCAAGTGCCCAATATTTAAAACCGGTTCAGGAGAATCCTGCAGCTGTCGTTCATATACAGAATTTAGTCAGTAAACAGGGAAGAGCAATAGACTACAAAATTAGACCCTGTGTAAAGTTGCAAACAAGTCAAAGCATTAAAATATCTTTTAGATGACCTGAAGTTTCAAGATTTATTGGGTTTGTGGGGCCAGGTTTTGGTAGCAAAAGGCTACTGGGTTGCCTCCTGTAAGAACATGCCAGAAACCTCCCCATGTCCCACAGAGTCAATGCCAGCTGTGGTCAAGACTGAGCCTGTCAGCCACAGTGGTAGTGCCTCTGTGGTGGTCTGAAAAACAGGAATTTCAGAAAGCTAATTTTAAAAGTTTTGCTACAATTTGTTCAAATGTGAGACAGAAGAAGTTTTCAGACATGCACAACTTAGTATAGGGGGAAGGGAATATATTACAATTTATGGGGTTTTTTCCCATTAGCCTACTCTGATCTGACCGCTAATAAATTAAATTAATTTCCTTGAGTTGAGTCAGTTTTGTCTATGGCAGTAATTGCTGAGTAATCTCTCCTCGATCTTATCTCAATGCACAAAACTTTAGTTATATTTCCTATCCTCTGTACAGTCAATGAGGGGTGCAACAGTGCAGCTTTGCTGGGCACCTGGCTTCCAACCAGGGTCAACCCACTAAACTGGAAAAGTATATAAAGTAACAGAGAGTAATTTATCATGAAGATGATGCACATAAGCTGAGCAGCAGCGATATGGCCTTGACTGGTTCCTTATCTTTCCTCCTAACAGAGGAAACGTAGTACTACATACACACAAACATAGAAATAATACAGAATAGTATAATTTCTAGTCAACATGAGGAGAAATTTTTATACTATTCCATGAATGTTAATTATCTTATATGACAAAACATCAATTTCATCAATCTCTGACATGCTCAACCATCTTTTTGTGGCCTGTTTTGTCTAGCAGCAAGGGAAAACAGTGAAGTAACAAATGGGTAGCTTAGGCAACCAGTGTCAACCCCTCGAGCTTATGTGAATGAAGTTGTACTTTTGAAAACCAAAATACTGTGGCCACTTTTGAAATATAGTTACCAAAAAAAAAGAAATTTAATTCACTGTTCTATGTTTCTAAGAAAGCTATATTTACAGAGCAAACTACTGGACCATATTAAGTTTTATGATAATTTGTGAAAAGTATCCGAGTTATCTGATAAATTTCATATCAGAGTTCAAAGCGGTTGATGGTTCAATGGGGAATTACATTGCCCATAAAGCATACTTCAAGCCACAGGTAAGGGCTTGCAAAGCATCCACTAGGACCTCCTAGCATATTCACCCAGCAACAAAAGTAAGCAAATCATCTCATCCAAAAGAAGAGCAGTATGTTGTTGTGCCAACAGCATCCTATAGGCTCAGCCAGTCTTTAGCCAAAAACAGTTTGTGGTCACATCTGTGTATCCTAAAAAGCTAGCAATGTGACAACTTAATGAAAAAATTGGCACAAAATGTGCAACCTGTCAAATGTCAGAAGGAATGTTAAACTGCTTTTAGGAGAGAACGGAGTAAGAACTGAAAGTTATAGTGCAACTTTATATTCTCATCTCTTCAGTTCTGGCCACTCAGTAATTAAGAAGATACAGCATAAATGGGAAATGAGAAAGGGTTGCCATAGATCTTAAAGGTACTGAGAAACCTAGATATAAAAAGTGATTAGAGAAATCATGACACAATCTCCCTTCGAAAAACAGAAAATATATTTGTCCCCCCAAAAAAAAACAAAAACAAAAAAACAGAGCCAGAGGATGTGTACTGAAATTAAAAGGCAACAAACACAAAAAGTTAGTTTGTGATTTGCTATTACATATTCAAAGTTAAATGCTTAGAATCATAGAATATGTTGAGTTGGAAGGGACTCAAAAAGATCATTAAGTCCAACTCCTGGACTCGATGATCCTTTTACAGGCACCTGATACGATTTTTAGGGCTGTCCTGTGCATGGCCACAGGACACTCATGGCCCTACACAGCACAACCCCAAAAATCACACCCTGCACCTGGGAGTGTTGTACAAATGATTCTTGAACTCTGTCAGGTTTGATGCTGTAACTCCTTCTCTGGGAGGCTGTTCCAGCACCCAACAACCCTCTTAGTAAAAATGTTTTTCCTAGGATCCAACCTAAACCTCCCCCGACTGAACTTCATGCCACTGCCCCAGGTCCTGTCAGTGGTCACCAGAGAGAAGAGATCCACTGCCTGCCCCACTTTGGACACTCTATTACCTTTATATCCTTCTCATATTGCAGTGCCCAGAAGTGCACACAATAGGTGAGGCCACCCCAGTGCAGAGCAGAGCGGGACAATCTTCACCCTCAACTGGCTGGTGATGCTTTGCCTGATGCCCCCCCGGACATGGTTGGCCCTCCTGGCTGCCAGGGCACTGCTGACTCATATTCAACTTGCCCTCAACCAGGACCCCC